TGTGTGTGTGTGTGTGTGTGTGTGTGTGTGTGTGTGTGTGTGTGTGTAACATTATCAGCTTTGTATATTATCTATTTTCATTAACTGTCCAATCTCTAGTAAGGAGACAGTTGGGGCTATAAATACTTTCTCAATCACATCACTGTCCGTTGAAAAAAAGCCTTTGGGGTTTTTCGTTGTATCTCTCTATTATGTACATGTTCCATAATGACTTCAGTCAGACATGACAGTGCGGTTATTGATAAAGCTACAGAGCAAGAAACTATTATGGGGAAATGTTACTTGAAGGCATCCCCACTGACCGATTTGATGTTGACTTTGTCTCAATCAAAGCTGAAATCAAATTTCCTTTTTGCTAAGATGATGTTTTGATTTGTCACTTTCACTGTGAATTTAACGTACAAGTAACTATGATGGATGTTCAGATATGAAAATAAAGAATGAAATTGCGGGATTTGCATACTAAAGTGACGTAAATGAAGCTAGATGAATATAATAAAAAATCGCATTACAAAGAAAGCAAGCTTAGTCTTTACTGTCAGCCATCAGTCATCGTCATAAACATGGAGGAAGTGTGCTTTACCAGGACGTGTCCTCCATTGTCTCCAGGTTGTCTGGACAGACTGACTCCCAGCCACTGGTGATCACTCTCTGCTTCACAAGTCTTCCCACACGTCAGCACGTCTGCACACACATACAAACTGTTCACACTGTTGAAAATACAACTGTGGTACCCATCTATAAGCACATCTATAGACACATCAAATAAATGGCTCATAACAAATTATAAGCAGGTAGAGGGATAAAAATGTTCATTGATCCTCTTCATCTTTTGATCTAACTTGCACATTTGGTGTATTGCTGGACTGTTGCTGCAGAAAAGACTTGCCACACACCAGCACGCATGTGGTGGCAGCGTCGATGCTCTGCAGTGATGTTGCAGCGGTAAACCGCACCGGGAGAATGAACCGACGGACTGTAGGACGAGTTTGCTACTGGAGCTCCAACCACCAACCTAAGACAGAGAGAGAGAGAGAGAGAGAGTGAGGCTGTTAAAACAGGAACTGTCTTTCTGTCTGAATGACATCTGTGTGTGAAGCATCAAAGAGCTTCTCTCACTGGCAAGAATTGGCTAATTGGCGCACACACAGTCGCACTGTGTGAAGACGACAACTTACAGAGCATTTCTATGATAAATAGGTGGATCTAAATTTACTGATTGCGAGATTTGCATCTCTAAAAGGACAGCAGCCAATATATTTTACCATTTAAATGTCAATGTTCATAAGGGAGGGCATTCATTTTTAAGATTTTTAAAATCAATAAATAAACTGGGTATCCAAAAAAGTATATCAGTATCAAAATCAATATCAGTAACAAATCAAATCCATTGCAGATCAATAGTAAAGCAACAGAATAATCAATATCAGATCAATAACATAAAGTATAAATTCAGACCAGCTGTGAGATTTGTGCCGATGCAACAGGACTGAGTATCCAAACATGGAGGAGGAAGGACCACTGAACTCCAGACTGTGGTCCTGATCCAGGCTGTATCCTGCAGCAGGATGGACCTGAACCAGAAGCAGAACCAGAACCAGGCTGCAGCGCAAACCTACACTGACCGCTGAGGGGCCCATGATGGAGGGAAAACTGTAGGAAAACAGAGAGATGATAATGATCAGTATCAATCACTACAAAGATGACACCCAATGAGAAGTCTCCATCTTTACACACTCATATATTCAAATTATCTTCAAACAAACAGAACTTTATTTAAAACTCTAGTGGACATCACTGTCTAAATATACTGAAATTGTAATACTGAAAAGCAGAATATTACTAATTTAAGAAACAGTACTTCATAAAAAACATGTTTAACTTTTTTACTCCATGCAAACATCATGTAGCCATGACGAAGAGGTGCAACAAGATGATACAGAATAGTCAATATATGAAACTGTGGACCCACGAAGATAACTTTTAAAAAAAAACATAATTAGAGAAATATGAAATATCTTAGGATGCATGCTTAACTTTTTGCTAAGAACTAGACAAGAAGATTAATACCACACTCTCATATATGGGCTTTACATTTGAAGCAACATCCTGCAGCTGCTTAGCTTAGCATAAACACTGGAAACAGTTAGCGTAGCATAGTTCAGCAATAATGAATAATACCCAACAGCTTCTACAGTTCTTTAAATATCACATTTTAGTTATATATTGTTTAATCTGCACAAAAATCTAATTGAAACAACAACATGTTGCTATCTCGCAGGCTGCTACATGGATAAAGCCAGACTTTTTCAAGTCTTTATGCTAAGCAATGCTAACCGTCTTCTGACTATGGCTTCAAATCTAGTTGGCAGATATGAATGTGCGGGATCAATCTACTCCTCCAAAGGGACGCAAAAAAGTAAATGAGCACATTCTCCAAAATATTAAAAGTTTATTTTAAATGTTGTCAAAACACTTTGTACTCAAATTTAGGACTGCAACTACAGATTATTTTCATTGCCAATAACTATGTTGATTATTGTCTTGATGAAACATTAGATTGTTTGGTCTATAAATATATAAGGCCATGGTGATAGCTGTCATTTAGTGTTCAGGCTAATCAAAAAATCCAATCACAAGTGAACCAACTTCTTGCTCAATCAAACTATTACCAACATTTTAGCTGTTCTATAAATTAAGCCTATAAAGTTATTTTTAAAATACTGTATTCATTGAACTATTGAATAAATAGTTAAATAGTTTAAAGTACCCAGGAATTCAAAACTTTTGCTTAAATTAAAAAATATTGTAGTCCGTTGAGGAAAATCTTTCCAACTGAGCACTTACTGTCATTTACAGGCCAACTACAATTAAACTAAATAATTTTGCTTTTTAAATATCTATAATAACATCAAACGCCTACAAACTTGTTTTATCTAATTTTGGCAGCTGGAAAACAAACCATATAACGTTTGTTTCGTGTTTTTGTGGCTCTTCATCAACTCCATCCATCATCCACTAACTCATTAACCGACCAGCGGTCACCGTTACTGTACCGCTCAGACAGCAGAGGCTGTGTCCCGGGTCAGACAGCAGATGTCCCGGGTCAGACTGCGGCTCCAGTCGGTGCGGTCCAGATGCTGAATACCCCGGTACTGGGGGCGGACGGAACGACAAAAGCCGCAGTTTGGTGAAGAAGCCCCCGTTAAATCCTCCTTCTTCCCGGCGTGACTGAAACCGCCTGTTGCTCCTCGGTCCGTGCGTAAACCGGGTGCGCACGAGGCTCCGTGATTCCCGCACAGAGAAGCACGTGAAGTGAGAAGAAACTCAAAGAAACAGAAAACAGTAAAAACCAAACTTCTGCTGACTTTCACATGAAGTCAATGAAACTGAGAACTGAGCGCGCGGCGGAGACCCTCCCTCCCCTCCCTCTGCGTGCGCGTGAGTAACGGTGTTTCCTCTCCACCCTCGCGGTGTGGAACGAGAGAGGCGTGCACGCTGCTCCATGTGTGTGTGTGTGTGTGTGTGTGTGTGTGTGTGTGTGTGTGTGTGTNGTGTGTGCGCGAGCGCGCGTTCGGGGTGTTTCCTCGTCGGTTATCACCAGAGTGTGAATCGAGCCAGTGTGGATGTAATCTGATTTTACTGTCTGAGCGACCCAAACGCACAAACAGTATTTGCTGAAACACAGAAACACTCCTTTCAGAACACCATATTAGAAATATTAGTGGATATTATGACTTCAAGTCCCTCCTAGTCATTGATTTAACTCGTAAAAACTCATCTCTGTGTGTCAAAGTTACATATTTAGATTATTTCTATGAAAATGCCTCAAGTTTTGGTTAAACTCCCTTTGAATTGCCAGCAGAGGACAAAGAAAGGTTTTTTAACTAAATTAAACTGAATGGCAGACACGTAGACAGTAGGTCATATCTACATATTTAGTGCATAACGACTGTCCAACGTGTACTACTGCCCTTGTAGGGTAATTGCCCTTGGACTGACCACATGGACATAAATTCTGAGTTGCTGACTTGAGGAAATTACTAAATTTACGTGACGTAGACACTTGCAAACACTTGCATGTACTCTCTGATGCTTGAAAGTATGCTACAGGCCTAAGACATAACTTCACACCAATGCTTCCTCCACCATTCATTGATATAAAAAGTCCCCATTTGTTTCACCATGCACCGCTATGAACTCACTGCAGCTCAAGCACAGCGGCTCTCCTGCGTCTCTGCTCAAACACTGTAAAGCTACACTACACCAAAGGCAAGTTGGTGCAATTCAATCCTAAGTATTGGAACCAGAAATCAATTCTGAATAGGAATAATAATATAGAAAGTCCCAGTCATCTCCACAAGTCTGACTCGGTTTTGTTTTTTGAGACTGTCATTGCTTCACACTCAAATGTGTCTTTGAGCACATCAAAACAGCATACAAACATTGTAACAATTTGAAAAACGTAACTTTCATTAAAGGAGGTCATAAGTGTTGTAATTTGTCATGTTCAAGCTAACTCAATTCATCAAATAACTGTATAAACATAGTATTTTCCACTGAAATGTAGTTGAAGATAAGTTTACTGTAGCACAGAAAGTAAATGCTCAAAGTGCAAATGCTTCAAACGTTTACTGAAGTACACAACTGAGTTAAATGGAACACATGTATTTATTCAGGCACTGTACTTATGTGCAATTAATATAACCTATTTGTACTTTCCTTAAGCATTTACATTTTCTGCTACTCTGTACTTCACTGAACCGGAAAATTAGCGTACTTTTTATTGCACTAAATTTGCTTGATAACTTTATACTGTAAAGTCTTGACATTAGGTGCCTTGAGGTGACACAAGTTATGATTTGGTGCCATTTAAAAAAAATAAATAAATCATGAATTCCATTGGTTGTAAGTTAACTGGTAAATTTAGGTCAATAATAGAAAGTTTAATTAAATGATTTATCCTATACTACTGTAGGTAAGAGAATGTTTCCTTTTTGTTTGCCTTTGTTGCCACAACAGTAAAATGATGTACATATATAATCATAATTATAACCCAAAAATATAAAAAGAATTGTTCTGAACAGAGTCATTTTCTATTACCAGTAACCTACTGTTATTGTCAGTGCTGTAGGATACTTAATGAAAACTAAGAATGCATCTCTTTCACTTGTGACTGTGCTTCTACACTCTGCAAGAGCTATTTTTAATTAAAAGTACTTCTTGCCAAACTGAGGGACCATAAATGAAAAGAAGACATCAGTTGACATTAAACTATTTTAAAGTACTTTTTGTTTATATGTTAAGAAGTTTGGGGGTATAATTTCAGGACTGGAGTGCGACCACAGCGTGACGTCACAGCCGTCATGTGGTCTTTAATCCGGCTCAGCTGAAAGTGACGCTTCTAACAGTGTAAAGTATAATTATAGCTGTGTTCAGACCAACATCACCAGTGCTGATTAAGAGGACTGTGTCCAAAGAAAGTGTTGAATCTGTTATCCAGATTGTTATTCCTCTAAAACAGAAGCACAGCAGAGGATTAGACACAGATCTTGGACAGTTAGAAAGTATTGTCACTTTGCATCATCAGTGAAAGTTGAGGTGTTTTTAGAGACTCTTTTGATTCCACTGTTTGAATTTCTTGAAGGGACCAAGTAGCACATACACCAATCAGCGACAACATTAAAACTACAGACAGGTGAAGTGAATAAGATGGGTTATCTTATTGCAATGGCTCCTGTCAAGTGGTGGGAGATATTAGACAGCAAGGGAAAAGTCAGTTTCTAAAGCTGATGTGTTGGAAGCAGGAAAAATGGGCAGGTGTGAGGACCTGAGTGACTTTGACAAGGGAAAAGAAACTGTGATGCCTAGATGGCTGCAGTTCTTGTGGAGTGTTCCTGGTATGCAGTGGTCACCAAAAGTGGTCCAAAGAAGGACAGCAGATGAACCGGTGACAAGATTGTGGGTGGCCATGGCTCATTGATACATATAGGGAGAGAAATCTGTAGTTTAATTCCACAGTGCATATTGCTAAAAACCTTAATGCTGGCAATAACAGAAGGTATCAGAACACACAGTGTATCTGACTTGCTTCATACAGGGCAGCAAAACCACAGACCAATCAGAGGAGCCATGCTGTCCCCAGTCCACCACTGAAAATGGACATATGAGGGTCAGAACTGAACCATGGATTAATGGAAGAAAGTGGCCTGGTCTGATGAATGACATTTCATTTTCTATCATGTAAACAGTCACGAGTGTTGCTTACCTGGGGAGAAGATGGCAACAGGATGCACTATGGGAAGATGGAAGCCTGGCAGAAGCAGTGTGATGCTCTGGGCAAAGTTCTGCTGGGAAGCCCTGTGTTCTGACATTCATGTACCGGTACTTGTTACTATGGCATGTACCGTCCACCTGAACCTGGTTTTCGGAACACGCTGAAGAATTCAACGTGTTGACTTGACCTCCAAATTCCCAACATCTGAATCCTATCAAGCATCTGTCTGATGTGCTATGAAAACAAGTCTGATCCATGGAGGGCCCACTTTGCAACTTCAAGGACTTAACATGTACCACAGGACACCTTTAGAGGTCGTTGAACTTCATACCTCAACAGGTCAGAGCTGCTTTGGTAGCACAAATGGAACAGACACAATATTAAACAGATGGTTTTAATGTTGTGGTTGATCAGTATGTGTTTTGGTTTTACTTTGGTGGAGTAGGAGGAAGTGGTGATACATCTCCCATTATATATAGAGTCTATGGGTTTTACAATACCATAGCCACAAACCAACAATAACAATGGAAACATGAGGATGATAAGCAGGTATATTTACCATATTAACCTATTGACCATATTAGATTAGCATGTTAGCATGCTAGGAGTTGCCAATTAGCACAAAGGCAAAATAGAGCTCAGGCTGATGGAAGCATCAGTGGTTTTACTGGTATTTGCTTTTAAGAAAAATTTTAACCCAATGGTTGCTCATCAAGGGATCACTAAAGTGATTTGGATTCAACTTCAATGTTGTTGTGACAATTTATTCAGTCATTGATTAGATATTCTACTGTGGACCAAAGTTGTTTCAGGTAAAGGTAAAAGGATGAAATGTGTCCATGAATGCAAAAACTCTACTTTAGGTAGTGGAGTATTGAAAGATAGAAGTTAACACGAGCACAAGTTTTATTTAATAAAAATTTTGGCATTGACCTGATCTCTTACACAGATGTAGAGAAACAAAGACGGCTATTTATAAGACTTAGAGGCGAAAATAATCACTGGATAAAAGGAAACCCTGCACACAAGAACTCAATACAATCATCAGACGGACAGTTCCTGCTTGAACATGTTAAACATAAATCTTCTAAACATCTGCATTGTCAGTTAGTATTGCCATTGGTGGCATGTTAACACAATGACATTAGTGTTCACCTGAAATCCCCTCTGTACACGCAGCGTCATACATCTGTTAACATGGCGTAAGACTGTTAGTTGTTTTGCTTGTTGGTTACCAAAGGAACAAAAGACTCCTCCTAAAAAGCAGTTAGGCAGCCAACCAATCCATCCAGATACTATGTGTAAATATTCACCCAAAATAAATCCCTTATAAGAATGACTTTGTGGGATTCCAACTGTTTTAATTCAGCCTTACTGGACTCTATAAACAATGACGGTCGAAGAAGGTAAAGTAGTCCGAAGTGATGAACAGCTGGTGGTAGCTGTGTTTAGTTCAAGTTCAGGGGAGGAATATTTGTCCTGAAAGAGTCAGAGAAGAACTCAAACCGCTCTGTGATTCATTCCAGACCTTCGACCAGCCATCATTAAATAAACCAGAGGGACACAAAGAAGAGAGGGAGAGAGTTTTTGAATCTTTAGTGGTCTTTGTTCAGAGTATTGCTATATATGTTCACAGAAATATGAACAAAGAATGTAATAAAGTGGCAAACTAACCTAAAATTTCAAGCTTAATGATTAGCTTGTCCTGTTCACATGATACAACATCTCTGAACACTAACATCTACGATCAGCCTGGTTTAAAGTGTTCAAATAAAAATAGGTCCAGACTGGAAGACGGTTAAGAAGCAGACAACCCGTTTTGGTGAATGTCGGACAGGAACTCTGCTCCACGTACACATACACATTCACTCAGTGTGTTTGTTGGCATTTCCTGTTAATGACCCTGCAGTTATTATGCTGGAATCTGACCAGCTACTGTTCCCATCCTCCCACACACTGTGAGTGACCATATGTTTAAAAAAAAAAGTCATGCTTCCTCTTCCTGAGTGCATTATTATTTGATATCACCTGGAAGTTCATTTTGTCCTTTATGAACAAACAAGCTTAAAAT